TGATTCTTGCTCACCGCCTCCAACCATCTGGAAATCAACAGTGGCTGAAACAGCACTCCAACAAGTGTACTTTTAACGTCTAAATTCTGAGAAAAAACCTGAGAAACATTCAGACAGACAGATAGGTATCACCAACCTACCGCAGTAGATGACCTGCACCAAAAAAAACTGCCTTCCTCATGAACAAATTAGCGTCTACCAGTTGAGTTGCATAAGCTAATTATACTTCAACGATAGCTGAAAATCTATTGTTCTCGTCCTGTTCAATCCTACAAAACATCCATCTCGATTGAGTCCTTCTATAGCCACCACTCTGGTGTGATGCAGCAGAGAGACAAAACATGTCACATTTACAACGTATAAAACACATTCACAATATCACTCAAGAAAGACAGACATTAACATTTCTCACACATCACAAACCTTTCTAGCTTGACTATTAGGATATTGGATGAATGACCGTCGTAAATTAGGTGTTTCTAGTTCTTCGGTAACTCTCTCTTCTAGACCGTGTAGATCTTGTTTAGCCTGTTCACATTTCTCAGCTGTCCTCTCGAATGTGTCTAGCCGTTTAGTCTTTGTTTCCAATTCTTCACGTAACTGTTTCACCTCTTCTTGTGATTTCTCGGATTGGATTTTGAAATTATTGATTTCACTGTGAATGTATGAAATAGAGTTAAAATAGAAGTGAAGAGAAACGATGTAAAAGTTAAAAAGGCTAATTTTGTCTTTTATTGATATTACAGTCTCATCATTTTCACTATGAAAAACACAATAACGCATTGAGTTAAGACATACAACCCTCTCCCTCCCACACATACACACACCATTACTGTTATTCCAAATTTGGTCTCACTCAAAGGCCTGGTGCGTGATGTCACCCCGCGGTCTCCTTCAGTATGTGTATGCCGACGACCTTACTGTGTAGTTGCCAGCTGCTTCCCTAACTAACAGTTCCAAACTGAACAGCTTCCTATCTGACATCAGAAAGTGGTCTAGTCTAAGCTCAATGCTCTAACGTCAAATAAACCCCTCCTTATTTCAAACAGTCAATTTCATCTTCAGCAATTACCTCATCTTAACGAACTCATCACTACACACGTTGCTCCCGGCTTACAGGCCACTGATATAGACAATAAGTCAAGCAGAAATTCTCCTGCTACACTCCTATATCCTCACCCTTCTCGTCTCCCCATATATCCTGTCTATTTCTAAGGAAATCCTCAGTCGAACATTCTACATTGAGAAGTTACAACAATCTGGAATCACTCAACCTCAACTTTTACAGTTTGTTGACTTCTCCATCTTACCAATTACTCTTCATTGCTTCCCACAACCACACTGTAGTCTTTCCTGCACTACCTACTCAAAAAGGAGTATGTCCTATTACGCTGGGTATCAAAGGTTGTTAGTAAGGTAAGTTCCGCTTACCTAACTTGTTACTATCATAGTCGACGGACACGTGAACTCATGTGAGAGACCGTCGAGATCCATACACATTCTCTGACTCTCAACACTACATTTCCTCTCTATTCACAACTCTCACAGCCTTCCATCTCATCAAGTAGATCTGTCTAGAAGTCAGTATAGGAAACTCAACGATACTCTGTTTGCCCCCCTCCCACACTCAACCGCCTTCTACGTGATAAAGACAGTCTTAAGCATGTGAAACTTACCACTTACCGTGTAATTAAGTATGTTTTAAAAATGGATCAGTCATTCTCCTATATTTGTAATTTCATGGTGACACTCACTATCCCTATCATCTTATAATTTGGTGTCAGTAATACTGATAATATCAATATTCTTATTGTAACTTTCTTCTGCTACTACCTAAAGTTGTTGGTGTTATCAAGAATGATGGTCAAGTGTATCTGTACCTCTGTTGTTCTTTATGTTGAGTAAATTAGACGTAATTATTGTATAAAATGCTGAAAATTCCGCACTGCATGTTAAGTACTACTTTGGAATAAAGCAGATCAGTGGCATTAATGGTAACCACCTCCATTTCTACTACGGTACATGTGTTGAGCAGTAGGTTGACAACTGGTTGGTTGGTCGCCAGACTTCCTAGTTTAGCCCTCCTTTCCAGACAGCTGACCTTAAGTATTCAAGTGAAGGCAGCCTCTCAAGTTTAATGGAAGTACTAGATGGTTGGAGGCAATCGGCAGGAAGCTTCCTGCCATCTAATACCAACAATTCACAGTGCACCGTAATGGCGAGTCACCTAGCATGGTGGCCACATTGCAAACATGACTGATAGAATTCAGTCTGCACCCAAGATAGGACTAGACACATTACACTAGTTACTGACTAGTGTGCAATCAAAAATTAATGGAAGTACTTATCATATAACGCGCGTGTAGAATTTCTGAAACACACAGTACAAGCACTGACTTGACGCTATTGTTGACAATTCTTATGTGCTTTGACTCTCTACACATCAATTTCACAGTAAGTACACCCTGTCCGGCTTCTCCAATCTAATCACATTCCCAATCGTGCTGTCTGTTATAGGATTTTATTATGAGCTGACATCGGTTAGAGAACCACTGGAAAACCTTGGAGTACTGCACAGCTGTTTCATCCTAGTTGGGGTCTCTTCACAGTACACACCCACCGGGGTTCGAACCCAGGACCTTCTGGTTACAAGGCGAGCTCGTAGACCAGCCACCGGGACCCGATCCAATGACCCATGAATTCCTGTCTGTAGTTGAAAACGATGCTGCCCTGGCTGTAGTGCGCATAACGCTCAAACTAAATAATTATGTGTAGAAAACGCCAAGGATATTTACATATTTGGTTGTAATCCTTTCATGTGTCTACCTTCTCAGAGAAACGAAACAGACTGAACTGAACCTTTTCGTACGGTTTCAAACAATAAGAAAAATATTCACTGGGATATATGAACACTATCATGGTCATTATCGAAGCAAAGTAAACCCAATAACATCAAAGTTTCGCGTTCATTACGACCATGATACGACATGTGAACATTCAGTCGTATGTTGTACGCGTACATGCAGTTGTTCACTAGCTGACAGACAATAAGGCAACCTACCGTGCTAAGAGATTGCTACTGATATGCTGGTTACTGATTTGAACACACTTTTCACTCAGGCTGTTGTATGAGCTGACACCAACCCAGTGACTCGGTGAAGGAAGGCCTCATAATACCATTCACAAGTAGACAGGTTGAAATAGATGAGGAACTATGGGCTGAAGTTCGACTAGATCTAGTCAATGAACCACATCCCCACAACACACTTATCAAGAAACAGACAACTTACTCCTTATATTCTTCCAACTTCCTCTTTTTCGCGTCTAATTCATCACGTAAAAATTTCATCTGAGCATCAAAATCCTCTGATTTTCGTTTCAAATTTTTACCTAATTTTGTTCGTAAGGCTGACCGATCAGCTAATATTTGTTCATTTTGTTGACCAGACCCGGCGATAAATTGTTCATTAGCGCGTAGTTTTGCCAACTCCGCATTTAAACTATCCACTGTCTCCTGCAATTGACGCTTACATGATTCTGACTCGTCAATTTTATCGCTTAGTGTGCCAACTTTCACTTCAAACTTAGGAGAAAAAGAAATCAGAAAGGCATATCAAAAATGAAAGAATTCTCAGAAATAACATTCTACTAACACCTATCTAAATATAAACTTTATTTAAGTCGGATGTGAATAACAATAAATGTTTACCACGCAACAACTAACCAACTGCATCTACACGTCGTTTATTGGTAATGAGAGTTACACATCTACTGCAGTGTCAGAGCTTATCCATACTCACACACACCTAAATGATCAAATCTTGTCAGGTGTGGAGGAATTACAACCCTTCAAACAATGGTTAGCAGTTAAACGACTAAACCCCCAATGAGTAACAGGTCAGCTGTATAAACAAACTGCTGCATAGTCACCTTCAATTTAATTCTTCAACACACCGTATTTTGATAAATCCTCAACAGAACAGACACAAGAACTCTAAATCCTTCTTTCATCAATCACACATATCCTTGTGCGATGAATGCAAGTCTGCTTAAATCACTGAGCTACACATATATACAATCAAAGTTGTTTAAACTACATTCCACCAGCATCCATCCGACTGTCTTTGGACAACTGAGAAATTCAGGAAGTCGATCTCGTTCCATTTATCAATCAGACAGATATATTTACATCCCTAGACCTCCTTTATCAAAACTTGATACCAGTAGCTAACGTCTCAAATACTTTGAACACATTCATTGGGCTAGTTAGTCATGATAAGTGCTTTATCTTTCGCAAAACAGGCGTCAGCTCGTCACAGAATTTTGTTTTAATTCCCCCTTTGTCTTAATATTGAATAGATCAAATCGAGAGTGTTTTAAAACGTATTCTTATTCAGTTACCTGAAACAAGTCGCATATGTACATCGCACATATAGAGGCCACGCTTATTTTAAGTATACGAGAGGCACACAAGGAGAGAGAAAGATGATGACACAAAACAGTTGCCCTCAGGGCGCCTATTACTGGCTAAAAATCAAGTGGTTAAGCTAACGAGCCACGATGTATCATCTGTTCACCATACCTCAATACTTGACAACTGGCCTTCATTCCGACTGAACTATTATTAACCGGCTTTCAAGCATGTGTAGCTGCATGTATCTACACATATGTCGATGGACGGACTCCGGGAAAGCGACAACTTTACCAGTCTATAATATCTAGTCTAACCAGTTAATAAGAAAACAGCAAAATGACAACGCATACACACGCACGCACACACACATACAACCACATGTCACTCATCATAACAATACAACATATAATTGACTTACAGCATGAAGTCGTGTTTGAAGATCTTTAGATTCATCTTCGCTCTTACGCACTAACTGTTCATGTTGTACACGTTCCTCTTCCAATTGACGTACACGTGAATGCAGTGATTTTGCCTCACTTTTCATCCTACTTATATACAAACGAACAACAGTAAACTCTTCATCGAATCGTTCAGAACCAACAGATGGTTTCTGATGTCGTCGTAGTCAACAGAAAACAAAGAAGAGAGAAGCAAAGAAAAAAAACGAGAAATTGTAATCAACTGTCGGAGTGGAAATAGTAAATCAAGATGGAAATGAAGTTTTGCAAACTGACTAGTCACTTCAGAGTGATCAGTCCCACCGGAGAGGATTGAGGTCCAACAGTCTATTTAACCCCATGACATCCAATCCTAGCCGGTGAACTGAACATAGTCGACAAAACACTCACTCAACAACTGCCAATCAAGCTGCGACAAGACGATGTGAATTACAACAGGTCAGCCGAAATATTCTTGACTGTAATACAATGTAACAGGGGTTTATATCCCCTCATAGACCACAACAATAACAACAACCACGAAACTTAAGTCCACAGAGTAAAGCATTCACCAACAACATCAGATATCATAAACTCAAGTATGTATTCATTAAAGTAATATCTGACAGAAATATAACCAACCAACTAACTAACTAATTCGACTCCGTTTTTATTCAATTACACTCACCAATACAAGCATGTTTTCATCCTGTACTGAACCAAAAAGACGGGTACAAGGAAAAAAATTCTTTTTGATGAAGTCATCAACTCGGTCTTAAATTCGTGTGTTTTAATAATAATAACAATAATTTGCTTTATTCCATAAACAGTACTTGTGATACAGAATGGAATTCTCAGCATTTTTTACTACAGTATTGCATCCAGTTAGTACATTATCAATAAATAGAATTCTACATAGATTAAGGAAATCTCGGTTCATTATGACAATAACATATTGGCATGTTGGTAGCAAAGGTAAAGGTGAACAGTGTTTGAAGGTGTTAGAAAAGTAGGTGCTGTCATTTTTACTGGCGTAAGCCAGAGAAAGAAACAAAGCAGCACATAACGGAAAAAAAGAGAGAGAGAAAAGGAAAAGAAAGAAAGAAAATGTTGTACCTACAAATGATATGAGTTGGAAAGACGAGGTCCAGTTGTACTACTGACTATTTATTGAATTATAGGTGTCACGCCTAATGCTTTCTTTATCACACAGAACACGAGCTAAGTAGGGTATGGTTGAGTTTTTGTACTTGCTGGTGCGAGCATATAGTTTTCTATATAGGCTTCTTGTTTTACCTGATGAGATGCGAGGGGAGAGTTGTGAGTGAAGAGGGTGGTGTGAGTTAGATAAAATGGTTTTGGCCCATTTTTCACATGAGTCCATGTGCCTGTCGACCAGAATATTAACAAGCTGGTTAAGTGGCACGTTGCTTACCCTGCTGACAACCTTTAACATCCTGCGTAATATGTTATAATCTTTCTTCAGTAGCCCGGGAAAAACTAAGGGGGAACAATAGAGAATAATAGGCAGAATGCGAGAGTTAACGAATTGTAGGAGTGAGGGTTGGGTTATACCAGAATGTTTTAACTTCTTGATGTAAAAGGTAAGACGGAGTTTTTTCTTAGGAATCGCCAAGATATGAGTCGACCAGGAGAGATCAGCAGATAGAATGACGCCTAGGTATTTAATTTCCGACTTGGTTTCTATTTCAGTGCCGTCTATGTTGCATACCTCGTGAGAGCCAACCAGTTTGTTTAGGTCGGATTTATGCCTAAAGGTGAAATTGACTGTTTGGCATTTGGAGGGCTTTAGGGTAAGACCGTTTTCCTTGGACCACTGGCTGATTTCTGACAGAAAGCCATCAAGTTCAGAGCAGTCACTTTGACATTTGATAGGCAAAGATACTGTCAGGTCGTCAGCATATTTGACAAAAGTAATGTCATTTGAAGATGGTAAGTCATGTAGAAAGAAAGAAAAGAGAAGTGGGGAGAGTACAGCACCTTGGGGGACACCAGCTTCAGTGAGCGCAGCAGAGGAGGATTCGCCTCTGTATACGGTGTACTGCTTTCTGTTGGAGAAGTAGGAATGCAGCCAGTTAGTGACCCAGGACTCAATTTTTGTCATCGAGAGCTTATTTAGCAAGAGACATCTAGGTACAGAGTCGAAAGCAGAAGTGAAGTCGAGAAACGTGCAGCAGACGTATTTGGCACCTTAATCTAATGATGAGACGATACTGTTGTGTAAGACGGCTGCAGCGTCTAAAGTGCTCCTACCCTGTCTATAGGGCAAATTGTTTGGGGTCTTCAAAGCTTTTAAGGGAGGGTTCAAGTTTAAGAAGTACTAGTGTTTCGATAAGCTTTAGAAACGGGAAAGTGATGGCAATGGGTCTGAACTTTACGGTTTTGCTATTTCCAGGTTTAGGGACAGGGACTATTTTAATGCCTTTCCATGCATCAGGTACATTTTTGGAGAAAGAGGCATTTAGGATGTTAGTTAGTGGAGAACATAAAGCATCTGCACATTGTTTTAGAACATATGCAGGTATACATCAGGGCCAAGGCTACGTCAGGGCTTCAGCATTTTAAAACATTTTAGAACATCGAGAGCATTAAAGTCATGAAAGTTATCAGCTACATGTTTTGTAACATTAGAAGTAGTTATAGTAGAAGGACAGCGTATCTAATGTTTCTTTTCGCCTGCGAAGTTGCCTGAGATAAGGATATGAGAAGCGGTCGAGGCGTTTGAATAGTGTTTGTTTGGGACAGCATATATCAAGGCAGAAAATGGGTGAGAAAGTCCCAAAACTATTTGCGGTCGGTCAACGGTCAAATTGATAAAATTACAAAGTCTAATAATCACGAAGATCGGATAAAACAAAAGATAATACGATTATAATTACTAAGGAATGATGTCCTTTTGTGCAATTACGGATTAAAACCGCACTGATAACACAATAGGCAGAAAGTTCGGGTCAAATAATACTGACAATTGACTAACTGAATTTCAACACAGAAGCTTGCACAGAAGTACAAACAAACTGGTAGAGATAGTCCCCTCAAAAGTGATATCACCCTTCCGATGGTACCTTCGGTGGCGGCTTCAACACGTGCTACAAATGCTGTCCTGATGGTTTCCATATCATTCACTGTCTCACAGTCTTGTGATTGAAAGCGAAACGAGAGGAGATGGTCAGTGCGTTGCGTTATCATTCATTTGAGTGCGATCAAAGACGTCATTAGATAATCCATCCATCCCATCGTGTTACTTTTTATTATTTACTCCACTGATGTAATTTAATGCGGCAACAACGACTTATGCGAATAGGCCAGATTCTATGCGACAATAATACGCTCATACAGCCATAGTGAACTTATCAAAATAGTGTATGTGCCATGATTACTTCCCTACCCACGCCACTCACATCCTTGGAACAAGAACCCATTCAATAATAAAACAAAATTGATACATACTTTTAAGCCTACCGTGATTTGAGCATTCAAGCATTCACCAACATCAATTAGATCCTTCAACAAGCTAGCCATCATTTCAGTATATTTCTTCTGATTTTGATGTGTATCCTCCAACTGTGACAATTCACCGTCTTTACTATGCATCAAACGAGTTCGTTGTAGCAAAATTGCTCGAGCCTCTTCAAGTTCTTTCGTTTTTGCATCAATTCCTTCAGCCTTCTGGTCATAATTTATTGCTAATACTCCTAAGGCTTGCAGGACTTCCTTCACTGTATCTTTGCTTGACTGGTATTCAGCCACGACACACAATGAGTGGAGAAAAAAACTGCATTTAGAGGAAACATTTCACAAAAATAACAAAACCATGAGCATAATAATTCTATCAATACAATACTATGTGAGTTATGTTGACTTCGGTGAGTATTTCTTCTACAAAGCAGAGGGGGTGAGGAGGCAAGGAGGATGCAGTAAGGATGAAAGTGGATAACTGATACCACCTAGAATACAAAGAGATTAGTGGATAGACAGAATCCGAGTTCCTGGTTGTCAAAAACCAGTGGCAGTCATTGTGTGCTTTAGAAAGAAGAGGGAAATAACTTTAGTACTCTAATACCTGCCGATTCATCATAATTATGAAACGGTTAGACTTAAGACAAACACCTACACTTCAGTCTAAAAGTTTCCATAATGTCCTTCCACATCTCATCTATTTACAGTCTTTCTCAACTTAATGTGTAAGTACCACGTGAGTTCAGTAATTTCACTCATCCACTATGAATGATGAAAAATCATGCCTATTCCATTATCATCTTCACCAGTGAAGTCAAACCACAGTTCTTCTATTACTCCCACCACTGCTACTGTTACTACTGCTTGAAAGTTCACTAAAATAAGTAAACAAAGTAACATGCACTCTGAGGAGGAAGAAAACACAATAGGCTAGTTCACATAAAAGCACATGAGAGATTTATTGCAAAAATAATATTTTTTTATAAAAAAAAACCTCTTGACAATATCATACAAAAACACTATTGTCATTAACTAATATCAAACACCACTTTAAGAAGAAGCTCATCTGAAACAATAGTCACAAGAGCATATATGCCCATCACATAGTATTCACATTCAATAATTTCTATTCAATAAAAAACAGGAATTCAACTGTGGCTCATACATTTTTATGCACTCCATTACCAGTCGATGGGTAACGCGCTAAGAACCTCACTTTTCCTACACAGGGTTTGGGCAACCACCAACAAGGTACTAGTGGTACCACTAGCGCTCACATACAATGGGTGTGACTCATCAACAACTTCGTCGAAATCCAAGTGGCCATTGAGTCTTGCCTTCTCTCAACCTTCACCCATCGCCTTCTACTCCCCCATGAAAACCAACACAACGGACCTCAAAAAACTAATCACATGATAAAAGCAGTTAATTATAATGGCTAAAATGTATCACCTTTCAATACACTTCCATGGATATATAAATTTATATGAAGTTCACAACATGTACTACCACCACTTACCTGAAGAGTTGTGATTTCTTTCAAGTCTTCTTTGTGTTCTTTCCCCAGAGAATCGTTCATCATGTCTTGCTCTTCATTTTGCTGTTGAAGACGCCATATTGTCTCAACCTGTTTAGTTATTTCATCATCCCTGTCGTCAAGTTGTTGATAAAGCAACTGCAACTGTTCATCTCCAACATTTCTTGCCCAAGCCAAACCTAGAATGCAGGCTGAGAGAGAAACAACACACGATGATCAACATTCTACATAATATTTATGATACGACAAGAACCTGTAATATCTCATGGTTTCAAAAAAACAAGATCAAAAAGAAACTGACAAATCATCAAATACATTTCGATAACTTCGCATACAGAATAAAAACCGAGGCAAGCATACAATCAGAATGGAGGAGCTATGCTGTCGGTCAGTTGACGCAATCCGCTTCGTCTTAGATCACAAAGAGCTTCTGCAACCCCAGCTACAGTCCTACCACCGATGTCAACATTGGGAAAACAAAGCTACCTAAAGTGCTAACTTTATCACCAACTGAAAAGAAAAATATCACTACTTCCCTACATTAACAAAACATTGTGGGGAAGGGGAGTTAGAAGTCACTAGATTCACCGACTTACACAAAACTCCTCAATAACATAAGGTGAAATGTCAAATGAAAATAACAAATAGTATTAACACTAAGTATTATGAAAGGACAATAACCAACAGGAGACGAAATAGACTACTTGGAGATACATTTGTGAGACCAGCAGATAGTGGTGCAGAAGCACAGACGCTGTCTAGCATTGCTGTGCTGGGAACACTGGGTGAAGTTATCAAATTTCATGTATTATCTATAGCACGAGCATATTGACTTTCCGTGAAGTAATCAGCTTGATTGACAGTTTCACCTGAAATTTAACATATAACACAGATTGTATAACCTCAGTTAAAGACGGAGGACCTGTGTCTATATCCCATTCAGGGAGGTGTTGGATGTTCGGCTGTAGGCCAATTAAACTGCTCCTCATAGTGTTCTTTCCAGCCGTAGTACTCGACTAGTTTCCAAATGACTTCGCGGTCAACGCTATCGAAGGCCTTCTCAAAGTCTATAAAGTTGAGGTAGGGGTTTGATTGCCATTCCATGCTTTGTTCTGTGATGATGATGCGTAGAGTTGCAATTTGGTCAGAACATGATATGCCTTTGCTGAATCCAGCTTGTTCTGGTCGGAGTTCTGTATCCAGTGCACCTTTTATTCTCTCCAGAATGATGCGACTCAGGATTGTACTTGGCGTCGACAGGAACATGATTCCTCGCCAGTTCTTGCAGAGTCCTAAGTTGCCCTTCTCTGGTAATTTCACGAGGTAACCTTTCCTCCAATCAGTAGGCACCTTTCCCTCCTTCCAGACTTTTTGCAATAATGGAGTCAGCATATCTGCTATCATCTCTGGGTCCTTTTTCAGTGCTTCAGGCGGTATTCCATCTGGTCCAGCTGCTTTTCCAGCTTCCAGAAGCTTGATCGCATTCAAGACTTCAGCTTTCGTTGGAGGATCGGTGTCAACCTGCAGTTGTGTACGTGCTGTTGTTGGTATTACTGGACGGGTTGTAGGTGGTGGTCGATTCAAGAGTCCTTTGAAGTGGTCTGCCCATTGTTTAATCTGTCTTTCTTCCTTGGTAATTGGGTTCCCTTGGCTGTCTTTTATAGGTTTCATTTGTGCTGATCTCTTCCCGGATACAGACTTGGTTATCTGATATAGTGTCCTCAGGTCCCTTTTGCCTGCTGACCTCTCAGCTTCAGTGGCCAGTTTGTCGTAGAATTGTCTTTTGTCCTTCCTGGCACTCTTCTTCACTTCTTTGTCCAGTGCTGTGTAAGTTGAACTCAGCGTCTCCTTTTCTTGTCCGTCTTTGCGTTGAATAATTTTCTCTTTCACCATTCTCCTCTCCTCTATTAGCTTATAAGTGTCCGTTGAGAGCCATTCCTTATCTTGTTTCTTCTTTCTTCCTAAAACCGTTGAACACGTTTCGTTAAAAATCACCTTCAGAGAGTTCCAATGGTCTTCCACGTATGATTCCTCAGTGATGCTACGTGCTGTTTCCTGCTTTGCTTTGACAGTTGAGGGGAAAGTGTCCTTCAGTTTTTGAGTGTTGAACTTGCATTGTGACCTATCCCCAGCTATCCTCGAGGCTTTTAGCTTCACCTTGAAAGTCCCTTGTACTAGATAGTGGTCTGAACCCACATCTGCTCCTCTCCTCGGCCTTGTGTCCAGTAGGCTCCGTCCCCACTTCCTTGAGATTGAAATGAAGTCTATCCGGTTTGTTTTGGTGTGTCCATCTGGTGAAATCCATGTTGCCTTGTGTATATCCCTGTGTTTGAACACACTGCCACCAATCACCAAATCATTGAAGGCGCAGAAGTCTGAGAAGAGTTCACTATTGTCGTTCATTTCACCGAGGGCCTCGCGACCCATGGTGAGTTCTCTTCCTGTATTGTCTCCTCCCAGTTTCGCATTCATGTCGCCCATCAGGATTTTGATATCGCTCTTTGGGACGTTGTCCATTACTGTTTGTAGTTGACTGTAGAAATCCTCCTTCTTTTTTTCTGAGACGTTTGAAGGCGCATAGCATTGAATGATTGTAACCTTCCTTCCTTTTGAGTTGAACCTGGCTGTCATTATCCTGGAGGAGACTGGTTCCCACTACATGAGAGCTTTAGCTGCTGTTGGTGACACCATGATGACTACTCCCTCGGTGTGCTTGTGATCGTCCTCTGGGTGACCGGAGTAGATTGTCTCTCCAGTTGGTAGTTGGCTCCTTCCACATCCGTTCCATCTGCTCTCGCAGATTCCCGACACTTCTATTTTATATCTCCTCATTTCCAAGGTTACCTGAGCAGCCTTTCCGGTTTCGTACGTTGTACGAATATTCCACGTCCCCATCCTTATTTTTGCTTTCATCGAAAGTCACTTTATGCTGCTGATATTTTCAATATTCCAAGTATACCCCCACACCAATATCTTACTTTCCCTCTGTGCTATTTGTTCACATTCCAATACTTTACATTCTTTATTCATAGTCACAAAGATACAATTTACAAAAAGATAAATAAATGAACGTAACTATGATACAGAAATAGCTTAAATTGAACACCGGTAATAAGTACATATACAATTTTGAATCCTTAATTTCAAAACCTTCAAGTTAAACTTAAGCAGAAAACAGTTACAGTAAATATTTCTTACCTGCTCGCCAACGTTCTGCTTCACTCTTCTGATGACTTGCAATAGCGCGTAATTTGGCATATTCCTCTTTCTCCTGCTCGTACCTCCGACGCCATTCATCAGCCGTAATTTCTACATTCACTGATACCAGATTCTTGATGGTCTTAGCTCGCATGCCGAACATTAGGGTGGACTTCGTTTCGGTATCATTGCAACCAGCAGGAGAGCAACAGATCACCATAGTGGTCTTTGCATTACCTCCAAGAGATTCTTGAAGAATGCGGGTTAATTTAGAGTCACGATAAGGAACATGAGGCTAAAACAGAAAATTATTTAAAATATCAATAGGTTGATAAGGTAGTAGCAGTCATCTTCAAATAAGTACAACATATGCAGACAAGAGATTCAGGTCGCTGTAGAGGCTAAAAGTATGATTTAAGGTGACGTATTCTTCTGCCTCAGAAACATACACAGTACAGAACTCTGCTAAGAAGCGAGCACATACAGAAAGGCGTGATTTAAACACAACAATTCGACATGTGTCATAATCGAGTGGAAATTCTAAGTCAACAGTGGCTAGAATACCACCACCACCTGAAAGTATAAACTTACATTTCCTTTTACAAGTGCATTGATCACTTTACCAAGAGCAGAAAGTGATTTATTAGTATTTTTGGCTTCATCCAATACAGTGCCCTCAGCGCCTGTCTTCGCAACTTTCTCACTACCAGCCAAATCAACAAGATAAAGTTTCCCACGTAGTTTCTTTTGAGTTTCCAAGTTCTTCTGTCGAACATTGATCAGGAGTACTGAGTGACTTCGAGAACTGTGCTCATTCATGTCTATAAATGGATGAGTAGCCACAAATTAGTGTCAGCAGATAACCTCAAGATAACTTAAATTTCATGCACAAAAACGTAATATTTCAGTCAGACCACCAAGCCCAGCTAACAACGCCAACACTCAGAATACTTACTCGTCACGGCCACATGACGGTTAGCCTTCCCCTCGCCAATGGCTTTAAAAACCTCTTCTGGAGTGGAAACCAACTTTTCCGTGACACCCTTGAAGATTCTTGTCAGGAGGAATTATATCTTACTTTCACGTAAGGAACTCGATCTTTATCTTCATGGACCTGCAGGTTTGTTTTCGACACTGAATCAAGATATAAGTTAGATCGAAAAAATTACCATCAAGGAGATCACGGATTTTGTCCATGTATATTTCAAAGTAAGAAACCTGAAGTTAAGAAGAGTAGCGCCACAAAAATTACTTTAGTATGGAACTCCAGGTTTTCGTCCATTTGGTTTATATGATTGAATATATCTCGAACTATCCGCGGGATAACACCTTCAAAGTCTGGGTCACCTAAAGTACCCTGAGGAGAAATAATCAGAAAACAGAATGTCATACCTCCATGGTAAAAGTCTTTCCACTTGAAGTTTGACCATAGGCGAATATTGTCCCATTATACCCGTTCAATACATCTACAACAATGGGCTTGGCCACAACTTCATACACCTCTAACTGAGATGCCTTCGGCTGAACTACATGATCGAAGCTGAAGATTTTACCCTAGATATAAGAGTTGTCACAAATTAAAAAGCCATCAAACATACCCCAATAGATACAGTTGTGTTTCCATCACCGGGGAATGACACCACAACCTCGCTTTTATTTGCTTTCTCTTGTTCATTAAGTGGTCTTACACGACAGATAACCTTAACGCTCTCGCTCATTGTAACGACCAGCTGAGTGGTTTCTCAGGAGCCCGCCAATGTTTTTAGACAATTGATGAGCAAACAGATAAACAAAGCAGGACGTATGTTGAACAGCATGCGTAAAGTTAGCATGAATCAAAATGGAAGAGTGGAGGGTGAATCCCTTGCATTCTATGCAGTCTCACCTCGTTGCTCTGTCTCCTCTCCTCAGTGCCAAGTTTAAGAGACTTGGTACCCTGTTCATCAAGCGGCTAGTTTGTAGAATTTGGGAAGGTTGTCGTGATAGAATGCACGGTAGGGTCCCGGCTGACTACAGTGAGCAACAATAATGACAATCTTTTATGAAATACGTATTTAGGTGCTGTGCATGCGTGATTTTAAATGGCATCTGAGATGAAGAATAGAATTATCACCTTGATCCTGGTGGACAGTGGAAATGAAAATAGATGCCAATTAGGTGTACTGATCCACAAATAAGAAGACCACAGGCATTTTTCCAATGATAGCTAGATGACAGACCTCTAGTGCATGCCAATCAATTACGTGATTCACGAACCTACCTGAGCAAAGGTTAGGACTGGGGTTTGAACCTCAACTTTTAGGCTCGATTCGTGAGTGAACAGAAGTAGGGTAGGAGGTTAATCCGTGGATGAATGAACGGAGGGTGTTCGGGGAGTGGGGGAGGGATATTACATCATTTCAGGTATTTGTCGTAAATCGATAGAGAGAACGGCGAGGAAGGGCACTAATTGTCCCATTAGTGCTCTCCAGTAAACCACTCAGCCTTCGGTGGCTTAACGGTAGAACGCCAGCCAGCCATGCTTGTGATCCAGGGTTCTATCCTTGGCCGGCGCACTACTTTGCCTCGCTAAGCTGGTAATAAGACTAGTAAAGAGGTAAGGTTGGGCATTAGGCTAGTAACTCCACCCCAAAAAGACAAATGCCACTGCTACCGAAACTTCAAAGCTCTAGCTTGAAGCCCTACTCTACTTAGAACGTAAAGGAATCAAAAAACTTAACCACTCTCGATTGAGTAATAAACAGGCATGTGGAAAGCACTGTAGATGTTAGCAATAAGTTCACCCTTAGAGGCGACACTGTGGTTACAGTGTAGTGTTTGTGGAGTTCCGAACAGAGAAATTCGATGGCCACTAAACTCCAGATCAAGGATCGCGGCACTGCTTCACACTCTTCGCTATTCTCGTTTCGAAGTTGTAAGTGCCTCCATGATACAATCACCTAATCTTTGCTTCTATACCTGCGTTAACATGGTTGTGAGGAGCACTCGCGATGACTGTAGGGGCGGCTTAATTCAACTAGACATCACAAGTGATAGAACTCAGAGACACCAGGATGCAGCAGTGGCCGCCCAAAGTTTCGATGGATGACGTGTTCCAACTGGTATATATCAGCATGAGCGAGGCTGCGGTGAATCTGCATAACTGGCTCCTTGACAACCAGGCGACAAGGAGGTGAGTTCGGTCTCAATACATGTGGAACCTCATTGATCAGTTAGCTCAGACATGGTACTACACGTGCATCACCGCGTGGCAAATAAGTACTGCAGTCGTTTAGCTCTTTAGCAGGTCGTAAGCCTGTGAGATGGAGTGCTGGAAGTGGATATCAACTCTACCACGGAAAACCAATCTAAACACTACGGAAACTTCAAAGTACTCAGAAACTATCAAAAAAATGTAGGCCTTGACTAGAATGTGGCCGGCTAAAGAGAGCCTCTGGAAAGACAGCCGATTTGTCTTTTTACTATGAAGTCAAAAACAAACAATTGCGCATGAAACGCTCATACAATATAGGAAACTCGGAAGGCTACCGAGATTTTCAAACAAATCAGCACAGTAAGATGCTACTTCCGATTAAACCACTCTCTCTCTCCAAATTTAACTTACCATTAGATCGACTGACTTTCAAATATGGCTGCAAACTTTTACAATTAACATGAAATATTCACAAAACTAACATTCGACGCACCTTGACAAGAGGCTGAGCAGGCTTATAGATGCTAGGAGCAGAAGCACCATTTTCAAAATTTATATCTAAACGATCATTATTGTTTTTCATATGTTAAGCATCTGAACTCATGTTTGACACGCGACCTGTCCAAAGTCGAAGTTGCTGTCCTCAGCATATCTGCTGATCAGCATGCGCCACTTTTTTCGGTGTTAAGCTCCAAGATATTCTTGCAACAACTTCATTTGCAGTATGGCTTGCCTTAAGCCCGTTCCAATCATACAGCATACTTCCTCTAAATAACTTCCATGACAAGTGCTTCCCATTAGGTCACCAGACACACACATACATGAGGACATTTCCAGCAGTATTATCTTTATACATGCACACATGTATAAGAAGTTATTACGAACGACTAGGAAATTAAGTTTCTCTTAGAAAGTATAATGTGTAGAAGTAGTCAGCACTACTGCGAACTAAGGTATAGTCTTTTAAGCAGAGCGAGATGAGTAATAATAATATATATTTCGTATAAACAAGTAAGTTTACATGAAATGCATGCCAATTTTACAGGCACGATCAATTATTTTCAAAGTTTATCTGGTACTCTTTTTTCCTTCACGTTCCCCAGTGGAACATAGGGCTTCAAGCTAGAGGCTTGAAGTTTCTGTAGCAGTGTTTATTTTACAGGATGGGGTTGCTAGCCTCACGCCCAACCTTACCTCTTTACCAGCATTAATTCTGGCTTAGTGAGGTAAAGGAGTGCGTCGGTCGGAGATCGAACCCTGGACCATGTGCATGGTAGGCGAGCGTCCTAACCGCTATACCACCGACGCATTTAGTGATAAGTTTATGTGGAATGATCCTTAGGTAAACAGCCGGTTAGCAGAATTTCTTATGCTGGATTTTCACAACCAATTTTTATATGGCTTAAGTTAGATATTGTTAAGTGACTCATCAGCTTGTATAACTGGAAAAGTACTACGGAATGTACTAGCATCACATTACATACAATTTAGAAAAATATATAAAAATGGGTAGTTATTGACTGCATGTAGTCATTTCTACACAAAATAGCAGTTTATTATACTAATTGTATATATTTTTATCTATATGTAAATAATGAGAAGATTCCTATCATATCTGTTGAGAAGTTCTGACTGGGAAGAATACTTCATCAACAATAACTTAGAAGTATCACTTGAGATTTTCTACAAAACAATTGGCCCAGCAAGAGACGCAATCGCGCCCTTGAAATCTGCTCTAAAGACACCAACTTTATTTATAGACCGCAAAACGCGACTAAAACTAAAGAAATTGAAAAGGAAATACCATGTATTTAAGGAATTTAATGCGTTAAACCAAATACATGAAACTCTCAAACGGCTTGAAGATAAACACAAAATGATGTCACAACTTGAAGAAAATAAAGAGCTTGTGGGTAACTCCAAAACTCAGGAACTTTGTAGGATATTGCAGAAACATCTAAAAAGCAGTAAAGACAATAATGTAGGCAGCTTGCTATATAAGGGTATAATATACAATGATCCCCAGGTTATAAGTGAAATCCTCAATGACTGGTTTTGCAATGACGCCAGAGTGCACCCGACCCTAAATTTCCAAATGACCTGCAAAAGTAACCACAAATTAGGCGAAATAGACTTTAATATACAAAATATAGACTCAGTGATTAAGACTTTGAAGTCTAATGGTAGTACTGGAACAGACGACATACCATCTGTCATATACAAAAATGGTAGCACGGAAATGGTAGTCTTGTTACTTAGAATATTTACTCTCTCGTTGGAAACTGGAACTTATCCTGAAGTGTGACAAACCACATACATATTACCTAAGCACAAAGCAGGGGCCAAAACCAGTGTATGCAACTATAGACCTATCAATATAACACCGGTAATATCCCGAATAATCGAGAAAGTGGTTAAAGACCAAGTGTCAGACAACTTACTTATCAATCCATCACAACACGGATTTCTTAAAAAAAAGAGATCATGTATGACCTGTCACATAGACTTTTCAACGAAGTTACACGAAGTAGGGACAACAGAGAACTAGTAATTGTACTATATTTCGATATAACAAAAGCCTTCGACAGAGTTCCCCATAATCTGCTTGTCAGCAGGTTATGCTCACTAGGGATATGTGACCCTCTCCTGAGCTGGATAAAATCATTTCTCTGTGGCCGAAGGCAGACAACGAAAGTTGGCTCCATAATCTCAAGGCCTAAACCAGTAAGTAGTGGTGTGATCCAGGGAAGTGTATTAGGCCCACTCTTATAATATATATAAACAGTATCTGTGAATGCTTTAGTGTAGGTAAACCAATACTATATGCAGATGACTTAAAAGTGACGTATAAATGCAAGAGCACAGATCTTGGAATAAAAGTAGGTGCCATACAGCAAGAATTAGAAAAAATGGATAGATGGTGTGACACATGGCAACTCCAATTTAATGTCGAAAAATGTGGCTGGCTCTGCATAGGTTGCAACAATTTAGAACTTGACCTGACAATTCAAGGCCATGCACTTCAACGACTGAAATCTGTACTGGACCTAGGGCTGAAATATTCACATAACTTATCATTTTCTGAACATATCTCCAAACAAGTGTCAAAGTCACGCAGACTTTTCGGCCTTCTGCTCAGGAACTTCCACAGAAATGAGTCTAGAATTCTGTTGTACAAGGTTTCTGTGCGTCATTTATTTGACTACTGTTCATTCATGTATAGTAGTATACGCATAGAGGACAAATCGAAAGTCGAGGGAGTGCAGAGGTACTTCACGTTAAAATTACTCGGAACCAAAAATGGTGCGAACTACTCCACTAGATGTGATACCCTAGGACTAGAAACACTCGCCACATACGTGATAGTATTGAAATAGATGTAGTTGACTTAGCTAGAGAATTGTCTGTATTTGGTTAACCATTCTACCAACAGTCGTTGTCTTTCAAACGAACTAGAGTGGACAAATCGATGAGTCTTCCTAAGGTCCGTTTGAACCCATCGGAGTTTTCACAAGATCTAATTTC